AGGGCCAAATGGCCTCCTCCTGCACCTACATGTTATGTTATTCGTCTACAAATCCCTTCACTCCTGGCACCTCCCTACCTCTTAGACCTGCTTACTCCGCAGCCTCCACTCGACTGGCTCCGGCTTCCTGCTTGTCCCCTGTTCCTCGGCTCCATCATTGGCAGCCTTGCTTTCAGCCACTATGCACGAAATTTAGGAATTCTCTCCCTCAATCCTTCCGACTTGCCACCTCCTTCCTCATTTTCAGATCTCTTCTGAAGACCCTTTGACTGTGCTTACGGCCACCTTCCCCCGACTTGGCGTTGGGCTCTGACACTGTTAATCACTCCCAAGACGCTACCCCATGTAAAAGGCATTATATAAATTCAAGTTGTTGTTGTTGCATTGATAATAATCTTTGTGTTTAACGCGGCAGCAGAAACCTCAAACTCTTTGTGAGTAATTGCTGCAGTGTGTATTTCTAAGCAAACGCTATTTTTGCACACAGCGATGTCCCCATGAACAGCCACAAGGTGAGCGAGTGATGGTATCTGGGGAGAGAGATTGTCACTGTGACAGAGAAACTGGCTTCTGTTTTCTCCTGCCCCAGAAACACGCCAGTTGGTTGGGTCAGGGAGAGAATCTCTCCCTGACTTAAACGTAATTTAAAAAAACGAAACACTATTAGGGAATGGAAATGGTTTTTGACGTGGCTCAGATTAGGATGCCAGCGAGCAGAAAGCTTTTAGAACTCTGCATTTTTAAAGAAGCTTTGTTTGGGCCTCGGTTAAAGGAGCACTTTTACATTAAAGCTACCGGACAAATGTTTGTTTGTCCCCCTGACGAGAGTGCGGAAATGGCTTCAACTTCTCTCCAAGGTTGTAAAAGCCATGCCCTCGCTTGGCAGTCCCACAGCTGGTTATTAATCATAATAATAATCACCTCAGCTTGGATGCTGTGCCTTTCATGTCAAGAAGATGTCTCAAAGGGCTCGATGTAATTGGCTGGGCAACTGGAGTGGAGGCGAAGGGGGAGAACAGTGGGAGGTCACGTGGAGTGGGGGAGTGGGGAAGATTCTGCACGAAACCCCAAAAATCTCAATTGTTTTAACAAAACACACAATCAATGCACGTTACAGTGTATCCTGTGAAGCGCTTCGAGACGCAATAAAGCGCAATATCAAATGCAAGGCTTAATATTATTATATTATTGCTGGGGTGAAGGCTGTGATGAGCGAGTAGTGGGATTGGGTTGGCTGTTGGTTCCTCACATAGAAGGCAGGAGCCGGAGTGTGTAAAATACCGACTAACTGCATTATTAAAACCTCATTAAACATGGCTGTGGCACGCGCCACCATGAGCGGATTCATTATTCATCACTCCCGACGAGTGTTTCATCTTTATTCCTAAAAGCCCGCAGTGGTGGTGACTGTCAGAGAGATCGTGTGTAACGTCTCAACGCATCCTTTCTGGGAGAAATGTCAAAACAGGACCTGGGTTCGATTCCCGGTCAGAGCGAAACCTTCGGCAAGTTTCCTTACTCCACGCACACGTGTTTGTTTACCTGACAGTGAGTAGGAACCCGCTTGTTGGTCGATTGGCGGATCACTTTCCGGGGGTAATAATCCCTTCAAAAATGGATTGGTCACTCAATCCACGACTGTTAGGGGAGCACCCCAGAGTGTGCGTTGGGGTAACTGCTGTAGTCTAACCAGCTATTATTATTATTATTAAATGGTGATCTGAGCGCCTGATATATTTAGGTGAGGTCAGGGGATTGAGCATGCTCAGTGTTTAGACTAATCCTGTCTGAAATCTATTTCTGGAACTCCGCAAAGCTTATTGTGTTTGAGTAGTTGCAAAATGCCCCAGTATTAAAACGCAGCTCAAATCCTAAATCGTTTCTTTTTTGGTGGGGGGTGGGGGGGATTTTTTTTTGATAAACTCATTTGTTGGTAGCTGACACGGGGCGGGGGGGGCTGTGGGGGGGCAAGGTTTACCCTCTCCAAATCACAGCGTCTCTGAAATGTCAGCGTAGAAAATGTCACTTGTGTGTGAGTTCCAAATCCCCAACATGGAAACTCAGAGATAAGATAATAATAATAATAAATCATTGCATTTAGTACAGTGCCTCATCATGTCTTTGAGACGTCTCAAAGTGCTTCACAAAATACATATAAAGTGCAGTGACTGTATATTTTGTGGGCAAAATCTGGCAGCCAATTGCACACAGCACTGTCCCACAAACAGTTGTGGATTGAGTGACTAATTTATTATTATTATTTTGAAGGGATTATTACCCCCGGAAAGTGATCCAGCAATCGACTAACAAGCGGGTTATTACTGACAGCTGGGTAAACGGAAGCGTGTGTGTTAAGTAAGGAAACTTACCCAATGTTTTGTCCTGCCTACCCGGGAATCGAACCCGGACCTCTTGCTTGCAAGGCGAGTGCATTAACCACTACACTACAGGACTCCACACTGTAGCAACTAAGCTACAGGCTAAAACACAGAGGGTTATTATCAATTTGCTGCAGAGATCAGAGACTGAGATTCACAATCTATTCTAACATCAAGATGTCCTGCTCATCAGTGTTCCCACAGCTCGCTCGCTGGTGGCGGTGTTTGAAGCACTCGCTTTCGCAGTTTCAATCTGTGGTGAGTGGCACGTTATTAGCATGTCAAAGAATGGTATTTCACCAGAGCTATTCTGGAATGAAATGCAATGAATCTCTTTGTGCGCAGAAAAAATATATAACACTCATGGACAGACAGTGTCATCCGAATGCCGGTAAATTATTCTGTTCAGTTCCTCTCTGCGTGTGGTCTGTGTGCTGTGACTTTATTCCCCAGATCAGGGTTGTGCGGAATCAGGGAAAGAACTTTTTTTCAAGCAGTTTTTTTCATGCTGAGCTTTACAGTAATTCATTCTCTTGACAAGTGTAGTGACTGTTTTGGGTTCACTAACGTGGGTTATATTTACATACGTCATTCTCATCGGGAAGGAAGTTTCAAAATGCTTGTTGGCTGGACCTCAAAGAGGGGTGAAGGTGGGGCAAGGGGGAGTGGGGGGCGAGTGGTGGGGGAGAGGGAAGGGAAGGCGAAGTGACTGAGAGCAAGTCACAGAGCGATGTCTTGAGGTTGGCCTTGAACCAGCGGAGGGAAACCCGGGATAGGGAGCCGGATGGCTCGGTGGGGGGAGAGGGCGCACTCTGCTTCCGGAATCCCAGCTTGTCCAGCTAAGACCACATTACCCTGCACTCCCCCGCCCAGCCCTCCCCAGGGCTGCTCTCCCCAGCCCAGCCCTCCCCAACCTTGTCCTGCCCTGCCTGTCAGGGCTTTGGCTTGTGGGGTTAATGGGAGCCGAGTGGGAAGAAACTGCATTGAATGTTGTGCCCCTCAGACAGCAACCCCTCCCTGGAGACCATGGTGATAGCAGAGAGTCTGACTGCCTGAGTATCCCCCACCCCTCACCCCCACATTGCCAGGGCCTCTCTGGGCAAGCAGCACTCCGCAGACAAGATATGATTTACTGCGGGGACTAGCGTCACAGCCAAACCAGGGAGAGGTAATTAACTAACTGACGAGATAAGTTGTCAGCAGCCTGGGCTGGTGTCCGCCTGGGGAATAAGAGCAGATTGTGAGCGCTTTAATGAGCAAATATATAAAGGCGGCACACATCGCTGTGTGATAGTGCCCTCGCTCTTTAAACACACCGTTTCTACTGCTCCCAGGACACTACACACGTGTGGAGTAATTTGACTTAAAATGCTGTCACCTAACTCTGCCATGTAAACACAAGCCTGGCTCAGACACTCGGTAGGAAACACACTGCAGCTACGACAGCTGTTTGGGGGCTCTTGTGTGCAAATTGGCTTTGACTTTGTCACCATCCTCCCAGACACTGATGATTTAGTATTTTACAGAAACAAATATCTTTTTAGCTGCCGGTAGCTAACCTGAACACTCCACATCATAGCACAGAGAAACAATAACACCTGCACTTGATACTGCGCCTTATCTCGTGCTGTCGAGATGCCTCAAAGTGCTTCACGGGATTTTAACTATAAAGCGTAGTGACTGGAGCAGAGGGAGAGAGAGGAGGTGAGGTGAGGAGCAGGGATAATAAATAAAACTCATCTCTTGTTTCACTTCAAACAATGGGATTTACCAGACAGGGAGGCAAACAGAGGCAGAGGTGTCCAGTCATTTCTTTAGTAGAAACATGTATTGTTACATCTTCCTAATTGTCTTAATACATTTCCTGTTGTTTGTCACTAACAATGTGACTGAGCCCCAGTTTGTGATGGTTTGAATGGGATTGATGCTAGTTTTGTGTGTTGAAAGGACAACAGGTGATACCACCTGCTGCTTATTATTTTTCCCCCACGGAATTACACTCAGTTGTTAAATATAGTATCACAGAGCTGCAATTTTGATCAAAGGGAATAAATCTGACAATACCACAAACTAATATTTATTTACAAGAAGAGCTTTCAATGATGCAGACCCTTCAGCTCGTTTGATCTCATACTAAAATGCACCGGCCTCCATAACAGTCTCTCTAGTTAACAGGTGTTAGCCTGGCTCGCTCACGCTCTCGCCTGAGTCAGGAGGCTGTGGGTTGGAGCCTCAATGTCGGGGACTTTGAGATTCCAGTCCAGGCTAACGCTCCAGCGCAGGGCTGGTGGGTGTGGGGGTCGGTGACACTGACCTTTGGATGAGATGTTAAGCCAAGCTTTCTGTCTGGGGCTGATCGGGAGGATGTTAAAGATCTGCACAAAGCTTTTTGAAAAGAAAAGGGCACTTCTTTCCCCCAGTGTCCTCACCAATAATCACCAGATAAAATCACTTCATGGCTGTTTGGGGGGACATTGCTATGTGCAAGTCATCTGCTGTGTTGACCCACAAAATATACACAGTCACTACACTTTACATCCTGTAAAGCACTTTAAGACCTTTTGATAATGTGACAAGGTGCCGTATCATTAATTATCATTAATTTCTGTTTCTGTCTCACAGGAGGAGAGGCAGAATCAAATGAATAAATGAAAAGGAACAAAGTTGGGCTTTGACGTTCAGGAGGATGAAATGCAATGAGACAAAGGTACAGTGATACGTTCCCAATGATATAAATATTTCACAGCAGATCGCAGTTTCATCGTAAAATGGTTTGAAAGGGAGGAAAAGACACCAAACTACCATTAGGATTGTCAGAATTGAGCAAACCCTCTTTGACGGTCTCTCGTCCGGTTCCTGAGCCAGGCGGGTCCGCAGTATCCCAGGGCACTCACTGCTGATGACAGCACAGCCCGGCCCAGCCTGACTAACCAGCAGGACTTGGAAGGGCAGATCAGTCACTGGGGGCAGGGAGTCATCCCACTCAGCTCCTGTTAATCCTGCAGCCAAAGCCCTAACGGGTAGGGTGGACTTAGCTGTACCTATGATACAGGGGGAGCAGAACTGCAAGTTGAAGCTTGCCTGACACAGTGAAAGGGAAAGGATTGATGTCTGAAATGTCTCCTGTACTCAGGCTGGTTAGACCCCAGCAGTCCCTCTCCCCCCACACTGTGGCAGCCTGAAGCCTCGGCTGATGGCAGCCTGTGGGTGGGACAGGACACAGAGTGACCACATTTCACCTCTGAATTCTGTCCAGGAAGATTTCCCCTGCACACAGCAGTGTAATAAAGCGGGGACTGAAAGCAATCCCACTTGGCTTTCTGAGAGAGATTACACGCTTTAATCTGCTTCTTACCATTTATTCCCCCCCCCACCCCGTAGTGAGCCTGGGCTGAGAAAATGTCACAAGGATCGTGTCTGACAGCTTCACAGAGCCTGGCAGGCACTGAGCTGGGGGTGGGGAGGGGAGAGATGGCCGGGGAGAGAGGAGGTTGTGTAGCTCTATGTATTTTGTGTGGACTCAGCTATTGTTGCCACAGGAAGATGATGGCTTCTCTCGGGGAGCGTGGGGTCGGGCTGATCACTGTGGCAACTCTTATCTTGTTGGCAGTGATCGCTGTATAAACTCCTGACGGCAGTTAATAGACTGTGTTATAATAACTCATTAAATTAGACAAAGTGGCTCTCAACATCCAGGCAGGGCTGCTCAACCCTCACAAGCATTTCATTCCTTTTCTCTCCATTGTGCCCCTCACCCCCCTATCCCGCATTTCAAAGTGCCGTCAGACTGAGGGACATTACTGTTTAATCGTTAGAATAATAATGCACAGATCCTCATCATGTTGTGAGGCATCTTAAGGTACTTTGCAGGATTTTACTGTACAGTGTGGCTTTGAAGGCAAATGTGGCCAATTTGCACACAGTGACATCACAACAAACAGCCCTGAAGCCAGCGAGCGACTGAGTGATATTATCTGGCCACGACACCGGGAGAGAGAGAAACTCTGGACATCCCTTTAAAAAATAATGGCACAAAACTCTTATCTATCGGCCCCTTTGCTATCCCCACCTCCCCATCTCCATACACACTCCCGGCCACACCCACACACACTCCCACACACACACCCCACACACACTCACTCCCCATACTCACATACTCCCCCCCCCCCCCCCCACACACACACTCCCCCCACACACACATACGCTCGCGCCAAACACAACGCCCCCCCTCCACACACACACACACTCCCGACACACACACTCCCCCCACAACAAGGCTGTGATTACACACTCACCAGACAGAGAAACGTCCCACCGGCCTCTGACGCTCTTTCACCCTCGATCAAACCAACCCACATTCACTCTGCGCTTGCTCGCTTGCTGCTCCCCCACAATGATGATGGAATAAGCCACATGTTCTGCAGTTCGCGGCCCCGTTCAGTATTGTTATTCTCAGAGTATTTTGATCGTTGCCAATGATTTTATTCAGGTTTGTGATGATAAAGCATCGCAGCTGTTGTCACACCCAGATTCCTTCCAGCATCCTGGCCTGCACGTTCCCATAGAAACAGCTCCTCAGCATTTACACAGAAACATTTCTACACATGATTATTCCGAGAATTCACTTTCCTTCCTGAGTCCCTCATTTCTACCCTCACCTCACCCGCATCTGACACCTTCCCCACTTAACCCCCTAGCCCCCCACACCTCCCCAAAGCCAATAGGAATCCTCACATTTGATGCACCGTCTTATTACATCTTCGAAACATCTCACAACGCCTTGCAGGATTTCACTGTAAGGTGTGGTGATTGTATATTTTGTAGGTGATTACGGCAGCCGATTTGCGCGCAAAGCGTCCCCACGATCAGCTGCGAAGCGACTGGTAAAGAGTTTTTCTCTCTCTCTCTGTCCCTGGCCAACAATTTCCCCCGATAACACTGCTCGTTCACTTCACAGCTTACGGGGACATCATTTGCACAAATCAGCTACCGCATTCGCCTACAAAACGCGCAGTCACTACATTTTGAGGTAAAATCCTGTGAAATGGTTTGCGGCATCCTCCCAGTGTGATAAGGCATTGTATTATTATTATTGTAAATCAAACGGCTGAGATTAAAGCCCTGGTAAACAAGCTGTCCCCAAGCAGAGACACACATAAGCTTCACAGTGATGGTTAAACCCCCTCCCACCCCGTCTGTGTTTTATTAACTTCTAATCTGGAACATTGTTCCCCTCTCTCTCCGCCTCACCCCTTCCTTCCTCTTCGACTGTGCGTCGTGCTCCATCACTGTGAAGTGTTCTGGGACGCTACCCTGCATGAGGGGCGCTGTGTAAATGCAAGTTGTTATTGTATTAAGTGTGGGGGTCCCCTCCCCAGCCATCCGTCCTGAACCTCATCCGACCTCAGTCACCCCATGACCAGGGATTTGAGGTTGTGTGGAGATGTGCTCTCGGATTTGGATTGATTCTCTGGCTCGTTTCTCTCTCCCTCTCCCCCTCCTCTCCCCTCTCCCCACTCTCTCTCTAGTGTCTGGGAACACGATGAGCTCAGCTCCACACTTGTCCTGAGTCTTGGCAAAGGCTCAGTCAGCCCAAGGCTATACTGTCGCCCCTGTTAATGCCAGAGTTCACTTTCTCCAACCCAAGGATCCCAACCAACTGCTTTCATCCCAGGCCAAAAGCTGCACATAATGGCTGCCTTTCAGGATGACAATGGTTGGCACTATTGCCGGACGCTGGTTACACTGATCCTGTTATATTGGCACTCGATTAGCGGCGGCTCTTGTTGGACAAGGTTCCGTCCACCCGTCCGTCCCCCTCCGTTTCCCCCTCCACACACACACACACATACACACACAGAGCGATGGCATGAATGACAAAGGAAGTGCGAGCTCTCAAACCAGTCCTTTGACGACACTTGTCACAATTTGTTTCCAGCACTGGCACTCGCTCACTTACTGGCTTGAGTATGAGAAGGGTGTTATTGGCCTATCTCTGCCCTCGCTCGCTGAGCGGGCCAGGAGCAAGGCTGATGTCCTGGGAGAGTTCGCACAGCCTGGCTCTCTCTCCCACTGTCAGTCGCTCTGGGACACTACCCTGAATGAGGGAGCTACATAAGTTGTTGTTGTTGCCTTGGCCCACACTTCTACTCCCCAGAGGGGAGCTTCTGTCTCTCCCAGTGTCCTGGCTCACAGTCCCTTAACCCCCCCAAATAAAACCCCTCGTGACACAAAACCGACTGCTGCAAACGCACAGTCGCTACACTTTATAGTTAAACGGCGTGAGATACTTTGCGAGGCCTTGACGATATGATAATCTGCTGGATTATTATGATGGTGATGATGATGATGTGAGGGGAGGATGTAGATTAGCTGATACCTGGATGAGGTGTTGAATGTGAAATGTAAAGTGGGGACACACAGACAGACAGATGCACAGTCACTGAGGTAGTAGTGTACCTCTACCCCGGGGTTTAGGGCCTGTATATCTGTGCGTTGCTGTTGTTGTTGTTGATGAAGTTCTTGGTTATCAGGGTGTTAAGAGCAGGGAGGAAAGACAGGAGTTGAAAAGATCTAACAAAATGGTGACCAGGCCAGACAGAGCTGAGCTCCTTCCCCACCTCTCCAGAGAGGCACAATATTTATATATCTGGCTGTTTGGCAGTTGTAAAGAGAGGACGTTTCCATTCAGAAGGAGGCTTTTCTGACTCCTTCCTCCTCTCGCTCACTCCCTCCCTTCCTCCCTCCCGCCCGTGCCCCCCTCCCCCCTCTCTCGCTTGCTCCCTCTCCCCCTCGCTTTTCCTGTCTGTGTCCATGTGTAGGTTACAGCAAAGCAGCAAAGTCCATGTAATAAAAAGAGAGAGAATTAGCTGAGATGAGCAGCTGCTGGAGGTTGGCTGACAGCACTATCTCCAGCGGGTACAGGGCACACACACACACAGCTGTGCTGTGCTGTCACAGTAGCTCTGACCCTCTCCTCTCCAGAAGCCTCTTGTGCTCCCACATCACACGGCTCAAACCATCAACATTTGCTTTTCTAAAGGAGGTTTCTTTTTAGACCTAAACTGAACGTCAATCTTGTCAAGTTCACAGAAACTTCACCCCCATTACCTATCCCGCAACAATAATAATACTCGCATTTAGGAAAATGGAAACATAAGGAGGCCATTCAGCCCCTCGAGCCTGTTCCACAATTCTATTAGGTCACAGTTGATCTGTACCTCAACTCCATTTACCTGCCTTTGACCCATATTCCTTGATATCCACCTCAGTGTTAAAAACGTGAATGGATCCAGCATCCATTCAAAGGATCGAGAGGACGTCACAAAGCGTCTCACAGGAATTATGTTTATTGTATGCCGGCAAACTGATACGTGTAGAGCAATGTCCTGCAAACAGTCATGAAGTGAATGACTGTTGTTATCTTGGGGCGGCCAGACTGCCTGAGAGTGACTGACACTCAGGGAGATGCCTAGCGTGGCGAGGGCTGCTCTATGTATTCACGTGGTTCTTGTGCACGCGCTCAATTGCTTTTCGACGCGTTTTTGGTCATCTGCTGCGTTTTGCCCGCAAAATACACAGTCATTTCACTTTCAGGATCTCCTGTGAAGCGCTTTGAGATGCCTCAACGACGCGTTAAGGCACTATATCAAATGTGAGGATTATTATTATCATTATCTTCCTCCCACACTCGGCTTTGTCAAGCGC